ATTTATGTGATAGGCCTGCATTTAAAATGAACATTTACGATAAATTATAAATATCTTATATTATTAGATATGTTATTATAAAACATACTTTAGTTAAGGAGTTATTGATACTTCAAGTGCAAAATGATGATATAAAACCTTAATAAAAATGCACTTTTAAGTACTAATCAATGGTTAAAGATAAAACTTTTGATTAAGTTAGTTAAAATTTAGGGCAAAAATAAATAAGAATTTGTACAAAAATAACTCTAGTGATTGTGATTTTGATGAAAATACCAAGTATGGTATACAATGAGTGATATTATTATAATTTTGGAGAAAATCCTTGTCCTTTGCTAATAAAACTCGTCGACCATGGGATTTAGAAAATTTTAGTTTTCCTCCTCTCTTCTCCAAAACTACTTCGATTATGGGCATGTGAGGATGAGTAAGTTATTTCTATCTATTATATGGAAATAATTTAGGAAGAATGAGAGAGAGAGAGAGAGAGAAATTGAAAAGACTTTGGAATCCTTGCAAGAAACACTTTAAATTAGGTGATTTGTTTGTGGTAAAGGGTTTCTAACCAATTAATTCCAATTGTTGGTTGGATTTTCATCTATGAATTAAAAAATCCTTAATTTTTCAAATTTTAGAGTTTATGATGCTTTTGTGTTGAAATGTCAAATTGATTGGTGATTAGTGATGTTGGGTTATGAAGATTGCATGAGATAGTTTGAATTTGACCAATTGCATGAAGAATTGGAAAACCTCAATTTTTGAAATTAGGGTTCATGATGTTGTCATGTTATAACGTTGATTTGGGTTAATTTTATTTATTTTGGGTTATGAAATAACTTGTGAATGATTAAAATTGGCTAATTAACATCTAAAACTAAAAAGCTCCAAATTTTTCAATTTTGTTTATGTGAAATTGAAAGAGAAATACAAAATTATTCTAATTAGTGAATGATTGTAAAGTAAATAACTTGTTTAAATAATACTTAGGAGAAATTGAAAATCAATTTTTAGAAAGTAGTGGCGGATTATAAATGAGGAATTTGGAGGAAATTAGAAATATATTTAATTCATATTATTTTTGGCATTCTAATGATGTGGATAATGCTTAAAATTGGTTTTGAATTATGAAAGCTAGATTACCATGATTTTACTTAATGTTATCATATTAGTGTAATGATGAAAATGTGGATAATTATATGAATTGTGTTGAAATATATGTTTTGAGGATGTTATGGAAGTTATTTGTTTGGTATAATGATAAAAATGTGAAAGATTGAATAAATTGTATTAAGATTGATGTTTTAATGACATTATAGAAGTTGTGTGATTTTTGTAATGATGAAAATATAAAACATTAGGCAAATTGTTTTAGAATTGTTGTTCTAATAATATTATATGGGAATAATGTGTTTGTTACAATGATGAGTTTGTGTTTAGGCATTAGTTTATTTTTGTAAGGGGTAAAAAGAAAGTATGAAAATTGATGGAATTATGTAATGTTAGTGTTTTAATGATGTATGCTTATAATTAATTGGAAAGTGTAATTAAATAAATATTTAAGTTGGACAAGGACTCAAATGATTAAATAATAAAGTTGGATGTTTGAATGAAGACTTGATTAAATAAATATTTAAGTTGATCATTTAAACAACAACGATTATTGTAATAACTAATATCATAATATGGGACTTTAATATTGGGATCGATGATATTTTATTCTAGAAAAGATAACTTTAATAAAAAAACATATAATATGAAAATTTGTGGTACCTCTTTTTTTTTTTAGGAATATGCATATATGTACTTAGTATTTATTAATTTGTTATATGTGTTGTAGGTCTATCTTGATCATTTATCCAACACTAATTCTATCACTAGTTGTTAAATAACTTTGTATTAAGTATATATTATATGTATATGAATAATGTAAATATCTTTTTATCATGTATATATTTCATGATGTAAAAACTCATAAATATTTTGGTGTACTTCTAATAACTTTAGTATATTATATGATATGTCATATATGTAAATAATTATAGGATTATAGAATTGTTGTAAATGGTTTAGGGCTAGATTGCATATTCACTCAATGAATAAAAATTAAATTAACTAGTGATACATATAAAACTAATTGTAATGTTATGAATGATTATATTTTATTGGTTAGCTCAAGACAATGTTGTGTGAAATTAATTTCATGTAGGAAATTAAGTAGGAAGAAATTTTAGATATAATACTGCATAGGAAAAAACTCTATTAAAATTTCTTTGAAATAAAATAGATTCACTTAAATTAAATATCATATTAAAATATGTGAACATATGAAACACAATGGGAGAGGTCCCAATGATAAATATATTGAGACGACATAAAGATGATTTTTTTTTTTTAAAGAATACTTTATTTACACGTTTAATATTACGATAAATGAACAAAAACATATTTTAAATTAAGAGCTGCTACAACTATTATCCCTCTTAATTGCTTATAGACTAGGCTAGATAGTGTTTTACGTTCTCTGCCACTCCCTCCATGCAAGTCAAGGGTCTAAAAATTCTTATAAAACAAGAGGTAAAGATGAATCAATTCATTTCACTACACATATACATTTTTTTATTTTCACAGCACCTGCTTTTATTATTTGCTTCAATTCTCATCAATATCGAACACATAACCTGTAAGGTTAAATTCTTCATACATCTTAACTAACTTAAGGATTAGAGGTCCCCACATCTAAAAAAAAAAAAAACCTTATTTTGCAGGCAATCGTGATCTTCAAGTCCAACAATCCATCTCCGAAGTTTCAACTTAGTAATTAGTCTTGGAAAAGCCTGATCCAATGAAGTTTTCCTTGGAACCTTGTAAAGGTAGAACATTAATATTGATAAATCTACTTACTGTACAAGCAAAATTGAAGTTTAGCCACGATATTACTATAATTATGAAGGTTACAATAGATCGTTCACATCGTGGCAATTTAGTCATCAACATGCGAATCTTGTCTTTGACAGATCATGCATAAGAATCATCTTCGTCTGAAAAGGATTGGTACCTTGTATATGATTGTCTTTTAGCCACAACGTAGTGAAATATCGACTATATATATGCATCTATGATTTGCATGTTTTATCAGGTTGTCTTAATTACTAGACTTGAGATAATCCGTCAAAAGCATTTCAGCTCTCTTTCAATGTTCAATTCTTCTACGATCAGTGATCGTCCCGTGGCGCTTGCTGCTGCGAATCTAAATTATGTAAGGGAGTCATCAAGCTTTTTAAGTTTGGTTTTACTAATTACATATATTGAAGACTTATCTATGCAAAACAAATTCTCTAACATGCATGGCGAATCTTATTGTGAAGTTTCAGCAAGGAATTTGAGCCATCGTGTAACAAGAAAGCAAAAGGGATATGTGGAAACTTGAGGTAGCTGAAGGTGACGGTCCCTGGTTGTTTAGCACAAACAAATTTGTTGGTAGACAGATATGGAGATTTGAACCGAATGCTTGGACACCAGAGGAACAAGCACAAGTTGAAATGGCGAGAGAAAAGTTTCGCTTAAATCGATTTTATACTAAAGCGAGCGGTGATGTTCTTAAGAATTTCCAGGTGAGCTCCGAATAAACTCTCTCACGCTGCAAGTCAGAGTATTTTTAGAATAAATAATCCAAAGAAATTTTGTTAGTTTTCTTTTCTTCTTTCCTTGCTAGTTTTTTTCTTCTTCTTCTTCTGGTAATGAAAATATTGCCTTGCTTAATAAGATGGTTTTGAAATTGGAGTCCCGTCCTCTCTTCTTTGCAGTAGGTGTAAGGAAGCACGAGACCATTAAACACATTTTTAGAATAAACTCAAAAGCCTCTTGATAAATGTTAGTTTTTTTTTTTTTTACAAGCACAGCTTATCAAGGAAAACCAAATTGATCTCAGAATCCCACCAGTGAGATTGGGAAACGGAGAAGAAATAAGTCGTGAAAAAGTTGAAACTGCTTTGAGGAAAGCTGTTCGATTCACCTCAGCGATCCAAGCAAGTGATGGACACTGGCCTGCGGAATTTTCTGGCCCGTTATTTTTAATGCCTCCATTGGTACGTCCAAATAAATTTTTAATGGTGGATCTATTTTCTAAGCTAGCTTTTTAAAATATTGTTGTTACATAGGTGCTATATATTGTTGCAGATCATGGTCCTCTACCTCAGTCGAAGCCTTGATACCGTTCTATCAACAGAACACAAGAAGGAAATTATTCGCTATATCTATAATCATCAAGTAATTGTGTATATATTATAACTCACGTAACTCGTCCGTTTTGGATTAATTATTGAGTGTCTGAATTTATTACACAAAGTCATTGAATCTGTGTTGGACCGAACGTGTCCATCCACTTTTTTGTGTTCAAATCGGATGTATAAGTAACATGCGATCCCAACTTACACTGATTGTTATAAACACAAATTAACTTGAGTTCTGAAAGATGTTACACATGATCTCTACTAACATTTCAATTTCAATATATGTCTACTGAACAACATGTATACGTGTGATCTGTAAAGAATGAAGATGGTGGGTGGGGATTCCATATAGAGAGCCATAGCACAATGTTGGGCACGGCACTTAATTATGTTGCCCTGCGTTTGCTCGGAGAAGGACCCGAAGGAGGCAGAGATGGGGCTGCCACAAAGGCCCGCAAATGGGTACTTGATCATGGGGGAGCCACAATGATACCTGCCTGGGGAAAGGTTTATCTTTCGGTAATAGTATTCAAAATCTTTTTCTTTTTCTTTAACCAGAATAGCATATAAATAGCATGTTAACTAGCTGTAAGAATTAATAGCTCTGATTAATGTTAAGATTTGTTATTGCAAAGGTACTTGGAACGTACGAGTGGTCAGGCTGCAACCCAGTGCCTCCAGAATTTTTGCTATTCCCTTCCTTTCTTCCCTTTAGTCCAGGTGATTATCTAGTTAATGAAGACAAAACTTCATTAAACTTGGTTATAGCAAGGCTTAATACAAAGGAGATTACTTCTTCTAATTTTTGTCTGTCATATGAAATGCAGGGAAGGTGTGGTGTCATTTGCGCACAGTTTACACACCCATGTCTTATTTGTACGGTAAGAAATTCGTTGGACCGATAACCGATCTCATTTTGCAACTGAGACGTGAACTTTACATTCAACCCTATGAAGAAATAGACTGGAATAAAGCACGTCATTTATGTTTAAAGGTAATTGATTTGTCCTATAATTCATGTAACTGTTAATAATAATCTGGACCAGCAAAAGAAGTACTTACCTCTTACCGTCCTGTTTTCGAGTGACTAGTTCCAAGAAGTTTTATTACTAGCAATTCTGATGAAAATGGTGCAGGAGGATCTTTACACCTCTCGCTCTATTGCTCAAAATCTGCTTTTAGATGGTGTTCATTACCTGAGTGAGAGGCTTCTTAAACAATGGCCCTTCTCCAAGCTGAGAGAGCAGGCTCTACAAGAAGCAATCAAGCATATTCACTATGAAGATGAGAGTACTAGATATATGACTCATGCTAGTATAGAGAAGGTATTCTTGTAGAACATAGGTGAATCATTCACAAACTGAAGTAATGGAATTTGCTTCCTGGGGGATGCTGCTACATTCAATTCTTGCTAGACTAGACTCGCTTGAGTTCTTATTATGCAGGAATATGAATAATGACCATGTTAGATATAATATATTTTCAGTCCTTGAATATGATGGCTTGCTGGGCAGAAGACCCCACTTCAGATGCATTCAAATTTCACCTTGCTAGAGTTCCTGATATTTTATGGCTTGCTGAAGATGGAATGAAAACGCAGGTTTGATGTTTATAAGCTGTGATTCAGCTGCCATAATTAAAAAAATGTCAGTAATTAACAAGTACGTAAACATTGAACTTGTTGCATATAAACAGAGTATCGGCAGTCAGTTGTGGGATGCTGCTTTTGCAACTCAAGCTATTATCGCAAGTAATCTTGTTGATGAATATGGCTCTACTCTCAGAAAAGCACACGAGTTCCTGAAACTGTCACAGGTTTGTTCCTGAGTCCAAAAGAAATCGTAATTTATTGGCTCGCCCGGTCCGGCATCTTACTCTTTAGTTGTTTTAACATAGCTTACACAGCCATCGTTCAGAATCAGAGCAAGTGATTGGTCAAAAAACCAGTGTTATATTATCTCCTTGTTTATTTTCTCTTACAATCATCTCCTCAGATTCAAGAAAATGCTTATGGAGACTTCAGGAGCATGTATCGTCATATTTCTAAAGGAGCATGGACTCTCTCTGTTAAAGATCATGGTTGGCAAGTCTCGGATTGCACAGCTGAAGCGCTAAGGGTAAACAAGTTCAGTTAGTCTTTTTAGGAGTTAAAACTGTAAAGATTACGTTTGTAAGAAAAAAATCCTTCTTTTGCAGGCTTTACTCCTACTTTCACAAATGCCAGCAGAAATTGTTGGTGAAACAATTGATACCGAAAGATTACATAATGCTATAGATTTCCTCCTATCTTTACAGGTATGAATGTCTAATTTATTTTTCGACATCAAGGCTACTGTACAGACATGTTTTCCACAGATAAATTGTCCTGGTTGTGATAAGCTCTTATCGTAGCTCTCATGCTTGTTGTTTCCCTTTGCCAGAGCAAAAATGGTGGTTTCTCTGTTTGGGAGCCAGCAAGAGGGCAGAGGTGGTTGGAGGTAATATTTTGGGAGATTTTCTTTTAAATCAACTCGGAATTCTTTCCTCTACAAGTACATATGTTCTGTGATGCCGTCTTCCTCAGGTCTTAAATCCCACTCAAGCTTTTGGTGATGTAATGGTTGAAACCGAGTATGTACAATCCACCTTATCCTCTATATAAACATTCATGCTTCTCAAAAAAGGTGCAGATTAGCGTCTCTTTTCTGTGGTTTAGGTATGTTGAATGCACGGCATCTGCCATCCAGGTTCTAGTATTGTTCAAAAGCTTACATCCTGGATACCGAAGGAAAGAGATAGAAGTTTCTGTGGCCAACGCATCAAGTTACATCGAAGATGCACAGATGAGCGATGGTTCTTGGTAATTTTGGTATCCTATCAACAGTCAATGGAGAAAATCATAAATATGCAAGCAAGAACAAAGAAATTAGTTAGATGCTGTTCTGATGGCAGGTATGGCAATTGGGGGATTTGCTACACGTATGGAACATACTTCGCATTAAAAGGGCTGGCTTCTGTTGGAAAGACGTACAGAAATAGCAGGACAGTTCGGAAAGCTTGTGAATTTCTGCTGTCAAAACAGCACAACTCCGGAGGTTGGGGAGAGAGCTATCTTTCTTGCGCCAACTCGGTAAATACCCTATCACGTTACATATTTGTTCATGCAGTTCCCAGCTACTAGTACAATCGAGTTACCCCTATTACTGGATGGGACACCTGGAAAATCGTTTCAAAAAGTTAGTTTCCCCATCAATTTTTTTGAGGTTATAACAGCTGGTTCGGAATGTCTGACCAAACAGAAGTATACAGAGACAGAAGGAAACAAATCAAATGTTGTACAAACAGCATGGGCAATGATGGGTCTTATTTATGCAGGACAGGTGAGTAGTAGATTAAATTTCATTATAATCATTCTCTAATATGAAAACCATCAGTATAATCAGTCTGTTTTGATGATGAAAATTCACCACTAAACCTGCTACAAGGTCTGATATAAATTCAAAAGAACAAACCAACTATCTAAACACAGACACTTTGATCTGCCTCTGAAAAAATTGATTACCGCGCAAACTAGGACAGATATATCCTGCACTTTTGACATCTCCTACTAACTTAGAACGCCAAACTGGAATACTGGTGTGAAGAATTGATTCTGATTTCCTGCTCTCTAAAAGTGATTCATGTAATTTTTTCGGGGTTAGTATTGGTAAATAGTCCTTGGAAAATTCAATCTAAAAATTATCCCCACTTGTAATCTCCCGACTTCCTAGCAGCCATAGTGGTAGAACTCCGCATAAGCCTGCAAACTTCATTTCTTGTTAGGTAGATTTATCAGAATTCCATTACAATACAAGTACTGTATTCATGCCTCTACTCCATTTGGTTTCCCTGATGTAGAAATCCTGTTAAAACTTCTTCAAGGGAAAAAAAATGTCTCGGCTAGCATGCCACTCAACAACAATCTTAAAGTAGAAAAGGTCCTCAATACAGGAAAGCTATCTTGACTTGGAAGGTCTTCGGAGCAAGGTTATCAAGCTGCGACAGAACCTAATTATCGGACAAGAATAGCTCTGAACAATGAGTTCTTTAAAGTAATGCTGAAAATGTTAGCATGTTCATCCATTATGCAATTCTACCTTGTAGAGTTTAAGTTATTGCATATAAAATAGTTTGCCAAAGAATTGTCTTCTCTATTATTTCTCTCAAAAAGTGCAAGTGTTGACCTTTTTCCCGGTCTTCCTAACAGGCTGAGAAAGATCCAGCTCCTTTACATCAAGCAGCAAGGCTACTTATCAACTCACAGATGGAGAATGGCGAGTTTCCTCAACAGGTATGGCTTGCTATTATATGGTTTTAGCTTTCTTTCTCTCGTTCTTTTCAATCTACAAACTAAAAAGGTGACATGTAGGAAAAGAAAGAATTTCTCTACAATTATAATTTTCCATGATATTTTTTAAAGAAAATTACTATTACCCTCCTATAATTTTTTTAAAAAAATTTATCTTATTTTTCAAATTACAATTTAGACTCTCGAGTTGATAAGTTGATAAGGCTTTACATATTCACTCATGCTTGTCAAAAAAAAAAAATTCAACAATAAAACATATTTACAAAATTATTATTGTAATTTTTATTAATAACTAAATAGCCCGTCAAAATTATATAATTGCATAAAGTTTACAAAATTATAAATGTACAAACTCATTTCTATTCTACCCTAGCCGCCACCTTCTCTCTTTTTAATGCAAACCTTGAGAGTAAAAAAATCTAGAATTCACAAACACAATAGAAAAAAAAAAGTTAAAATAACATTGATAAAAATTTAACCCAATAATTACATGAATTTATTTAATGAAAAAAATCTCAACCATATTATAATAATTTAACACAAACTAAAAGTATAGAAAGAATACGGTAAAGATAATTGATATTTAATAATTCTAATAAAAATTCAATAAAGAATCTAAAATATAAGCAACCTTGCGCATACAATATTATTATGAAATAAGCCAGTTTGAAAAATAAAACTTAAATATAAATTAAATAACTTTATTTATACTAGGTAAAAACATTGGTTGAAAAAATAATATAAGAGTATTAATTCAAATAGAAAAAAATCTTAAATCAATTAGAAAAATAACATAAATCTCGCACAATAACTTTTGAACCTTATCGCAAGGTCTTTTTAATATTTAATTGCTATAAAATTTTAACTTTATAGAAAATAAAGCTTCTAGAATCTTCTAACAAAATTTCAACCCAAACCACTTATCAAATCAAAAATTATGTTTTGTATACATAAAATGTGCTTTAAAAAAATAAAACTAAAACTTGTTCATTTCGACTTAAACTTGTTCATTTCTTTACATGGATTAAATTAATTAAAATCTCGTTATTACTTCACTTTTGAAAGCTTGACCTTATCCAAATTTTTGAATTGTTAATTTTTATGGTTGTAGTTTGGAAAAAGTTATTTTTATAAAAAAAAATTTTGATTAAGGTTTGTTCAGTATTTATATATATTTGGTTAAAACTGTGGTTGAAATTAAGGTTGAATAAAAAGTAATTTAATGTGTTTAGTTAATAATATTTTTTAAATTGAGGTTATAAAATAATTAAAAAGGATATATATTAATATTGATAATTTTTAATTTAAATATTATATATTTAACTACTGCTATTACATTATGAAATAAATAATACTTTATATAAACTATTTTTATTATTCCATTAAACTATCTACAATTCCATCACCTATGAAATTCATCCGATAAGGACTATAGTTTCCATAGTTTTTTAACCATGTAATAAAATTAGATAAAATATTATTAGGAATAAAATTGGGATTATAATTAAATTCTGTAAATGTTATACCATCATGCGATCTTTTTCTAATTTATATAATATCATTAAATAATATTAAACACTAATTATTTTAAATAAAACACAATTAAAAAAATAAAATTTTTACTGTTCACATAAACGATATAGAGTGAATTATAAAAGTGAATAGTGTTATAATTTACTCTGCATTGTTCACTAACAGTACAAAGTGAATTAAAAATTACTCTGCACAAACAAGAGAAGCAGCTTGAAGTTGCTTTCCATTCACCTGTGTTACACAAAAAATATTAGATCCCACGAATAATAAACCATATTTTATACTTTACCAAACACTAACTTTGTTATGATTTACTTTAACTACAAAAATAACCACATAAATAAATACTCTTTTAATAAATGTTTTTTTAAGTTTTTTTACCTTCTCGGAAAGCTTGACTTTATCCTAATGAATATCTCTTTAAACTTCTTGACCCCTTTCTAAAGCTTGACTTCACCCAATGAATGTTCTTTAAGCTTCTTGACTCTTATCTTGTAATTGGCTAAATTAACACCTCTAATTGATACTTGGTGCAATTAGTTGATTCTCATTACCTTTCCTTTCGATGCCACCACATGACATGAGCTGCCTAACAAATTAACAATATTGCAATTGCAAACGTTGCATAGGATTTCCAATTCCATGTCAATCATTGAACACACCCACTAGCTGATATCAACAACAAATCCACGGCAGAAAATCGATTATGATTGCTAATCTGCGCAAGTTGCGCCATTGCTTCCCAGAAGATGATTGTAGCCCACATGCGTCCCAGAGCAAGTTGTGGATACTCTATCAGCATTCTTAGTATGTGGACTAGACAAGAAAAAAACCGTGAGAACAATTTGACCTGCATGGAGAACAGATCTTTAAATTCCTTGTAGCGCACGAGCTTGTCAAATCCAATTCATTCATTCTACTTGCATGGAAAACAAACTCCCCTTCTGTGCTAGAACGAGGATTACATAGCCCTGGATTGCTCAACTCCAAAGGAGGATATTCTGGTGGTAATCTCTTATTAGCAAACCAAAAATCAATAACCAAATCATTTTCCCTTATCCCCCATGTCGTGAAATCAAATGAAACAACTTCGGTTTTGTTCAATTTGATGTGATATGCATGTAAGACTCAAATGAAACAACCCAAGAAGCTTCAGTCTTTCAGCAGATCTAACCCAAAATCAATTTTGGGTTTTGTTCAATTTGATGTGATATCCAAGTAAGACTCGGTATCTTCTCCAAAATGTGAATCAAAGCCCCAAAAATCAGTTAGAGATGCACGAACAAGACCCCCAAAATCCATGATTGAATCGATGCCTGCTAAAAACCTCATCACCGGAAGCATGAGGGACGCCTTGTAAACATATTTATCATAGTGAGTGCATACTTCCATAGTTATCTATTTGTAATTCTAGTCATGCTGTAGCTGCATAGCAAATACAGCCCTCCCTCAAAATAGGTTTTGTTTTGGTTACAATAGATTATTGTATTAATATAGGTAAGACAGATTATGTGCATCTGGATTAATATTATAGACCTTAAAATTAATGATTATATAAGCTTTTAATGATTATAAAATTTATGAAACTCAAATTAATAATATCTAGAAAATAAATTTAGAATCTAAATTGATAATATCTGAAAAATAAATTTAGAATCTGACCAGTTGAGTTATGTCCTAAAAAATTTCAATAAAAATCTTTAGTTGAACGATAGGTTGATCTTTTCATTTATATATGGTATTGTGGTAGCTGTGTGTGATTGTGGTTTGACAAAAATTATTTTATAAAAAATATTTTTGATTGAGATTGATTTAATATTTATGTATATTTGGTTAAAATTATAGTTGAAATTAAAGTTGAACAAAAAATAGTTTAATATATTTGATTAATAATACTTTTAAAATTAAGGTTATAAAATAATTTTAAAAATATATATTAATATTGATGATTTTAATTTAAATATTATAGATTTAACTATTATTATCACATCATAAAATAAATAATACTTTATATAAAATATTTTTTATTATTTCATTAAATTATTTACAATTCCATCATATATAAAATACATCTGATAAGGATGGAATAGAATTTTTTTAGTTTCTTAAACGCACAATAATTTATGTAGTATCATTAAATAATATTAAATACTAATTTTTTAAATAAAATATAATTTTTATTTTTTATTTTACTAGATTCAAAGCATACATTATTTATGATAATTAATTAGCATAAACAGGGCTAAAAAATAAAATAATGGTCCTAGAAGGCGCCATTGTTTATTGTTAACAAAAAAGTAAAGGGAAGTTGCTTCGTGTTCACCTGTGTTTGGAATACAGGAACAGGTGGGATCCATGATCAGTAAAACATGTTTCTTTTTATAATCAAACATTTCTTAGCTGTGTTTTATTTAAAATGCAACCGTAATCGCATAAACAAACGCAGCATACATTTTTAAGAAACTGAAGACAGGGAAAAAAATAACCACGGAGGGTGAGTATATTTTTCCTTATTTTTTACTTTTAATTGTCTCTGTAGCTTTTAACCGTGAATTCTTTCTCACAGCAAATCACCGGGGCCTCCTTGAGGACTTGCATGCTACATTATGCATCATTTAAGAACATATTTCCGCTTTGGGCTCTTGGAGAATATCGTAAGCGTGTACACCCGCGAAGGCTTTAAGAAGCTCCATTTGCATCTTGGAATGCTTGGCAGAGGAATAGGATCACTGTTACATTATTTAAAGACATTTATATGGAAAAAACGATTACTTACACTGTTCAGAATGTATCTTACAGTAAAATTAAACATGTACATGAATTTCTTAAGAAATAAATAAATGTATAACCAAGCATAAACATCGTGTTTAGCATAAATCTTATGTAGAATTAAATTGAATTTCATAAGATTAAATTTGTTTCCATCAAATATAGAAGTAATAACGTTAAATTAAACTATGTTATGTAATTTAATCAATGAACTAAATTTAATTATTTTCTTATATTTCCTATGATTCCACAGTTCGGACATGAATAAACAATTACACATGGATTAAAATAGGTAATTTTGGAATGACACAGCTCCAGTTATTGGAAGAATCTTACCTTTTTGTTTTCCTTGTTTATTGGAAGAGTCTCTCCATTTTAAGCTGCAGTTAAAAGCACATTTCATGAAACGAAACTTGTTTTGATAAGAAACTAAACTTGTATTCTCATTCGTAAAGTGTAGAACAGAAGCCTCTGTTATTTAAATTGTTTTCTAGTTCCAAAGAAAAAATGGTATCGTGTGAGTTCAGTTCCAGTTGTTCTGTTTCCTTTTCCCTCGTCTTCAATTCTGGAGAGTCTAATGTATCCAGGTAAAATGTGATTTCTTATTCATGTTAATCTACAGCTAACAACTCAAATGATCTGCGAGACCAAATTGTACAAAAATCAATCAGCAAGTCGTGCAAAGTTTCCTAATTTCGATTTGTAGAGTAGATAATAGCAAATGGAAAATTAAAATTCTTCAATCATTAAGGTTCTCCTCAACTTTTTATTCTGTCCAATGCCCAGAAGGATGACCACAACACAAAGTAAGCACGACAAACTATAGCAGATTATACAAACTTCCGTTTTCCACAATGCATTGTAAGCAAAAATATAGTAGCCGATTGTATAAACTTCAACATTCAAGGAGTTAATATGCAAAATATTAGTTGGGGGGGGATCACTAGCCTGTTCAGCATAAGTTGAAATACACGCGCGAAAACTCAAAATTAGTTTCCTCATCCCTATGAACGAGAATCATCAAGAGAAATCCTTACTATTAAAAGTAACGAACACATCTCACATAAAACTATTTGTAACAACTTAAGAAAGGATCTGGCAGCATCACTTACATGTTTCAGAAAATTAATTCATGGCCGTGACACCCTCTGATTGTTTACTCGATTAAACCATTGTTTTCAGTGAAACTGGGACACTTTCATGCTCTCTTGATTTCTTATGATCAAAACATTATCAAGCTCCTTCTGCAATTGTGATCTCAACTGGTAGTTCGAAGCCAAACTTGTGTCCAAACTCTCCTTTACGGCAAAAAGTTGCGATTTTCTCATCTCTGCTTCAGCTATCTCAGAATTGCTCAAGAACCCATTGTTCCCTTGAAGTTTTATGAATATTGAGTTAAGCTGATCAAAGAAACATCAAATCGACACTAACATAAAGACGATTCCGTAACTTGAATCCTTACCAAATCAAAATACTACTTGAATCCTTACCTCATTCACATGATTCCGTAACTCATTCACTTGAATACGACATTCCTTAACAAACTTATCCACATTTTCGCTAAAAGCCTTCATATCAAGACCTTTTACCTGGTAAAAACTCTCCTTCTCCTTCTCCATCTCCTCCATCTCCTCTACTTCACTCTTCAAAACCCTAAAACCCAATCCAAATTCAGTTCAATTCTTACATTTAAAAATATGAATAAACGAAATTAATTACTATCATCTTTACCTGAATTCTTGTGAATCAGCATCGTATTTAGCATCAAGGCTCTCGATTTCCGATTTAAGAACCAAGATTTTGAAGTTCTGAAATGCAATTTTGTGGACAAGAACCAAACACCTTTGTTCAATGGACCGAATATTTACCAAATTCGATGCTAACATCCGAGACTTGCTCGTTTGCAATTCTTTCTCTGCCTGCAACCATTTTTTTTTTGTTTTTTATTTTCTCTGAAACCAAACAGAAAGTTAAAGGTTAATTAGGGTTTAAGATTGGGAGTGACCTGGAGAAGAGAGAGACGTTGATTTCTGGTACTTTCCATTTGCTCCAGTCGTTCTCGAAACGCAGAGTAAAGCGCCATTGTTCCTAAACGCAAGGGTTCTTCAATTTTGCTTCTTCAAAAGGACAAAAGAGAATAATATTATTTGAATATGGGGGTTTATATGTAGTTGTTCTGGCTGTGTAAAACGCCAATTTTAATTATTAACTTAATTTAAAATTTAATTTGATAGATATTCATATTTATGGAAAAATAAGTAAATGAATTTGATTAATTAATTATGTATAAACAAGTTCTATGATTTTTGGTTACTATTTCAAGAAAAAATAAAAATATTAAAGATAAATCAAAATCAAAATCATAAAAATAAAAAAATAATTATATTAGATGGTGATTTAATGGAAACGATGATGATTTTATATTTTATTTAATTAAAAATAAAAAAGATAAATAAAATATAAAAAGATCTTTTTTATTTAAATCTTTGTTACTAAAGAATTCTTGTTTTTATTTCCAATACCTTAATCTCTAAAATTGGTAAATAATTATAGCTATTTGGTTTCTGGTTATATTAGATAACATAATTAATTAATTATAAATTCAATTCAAAATCACATTTTGAATACGGTTCACACGAAAGAGAAAAAGCAAAGCATCAAATCGTAGGGTCAGAGATTGTTCTTGTTGCATAACTTGGATTAATTGATACAAAGTTTCAGAATTTGAAGATAATGGAAATTGAATATTGAGATTATTAGAGAGAGAAGATAGTTTACAGGGAAGGTTTGTATTGGGAATTGAAAAAAAAAAATAAGAAGAAGATTATGTATCTAATCTTTAAAAAAATAAGTATTAATTAAGAATAGAAGAAAATGATTGCTATCTAACTAAAAATAGTTAGGATTTTTTACTTAAAAAAATTGGATAACTTTAGAATTTAGAATTTTTTGCAGGGATATATTAGAAATAAAAATAATATATATTTTTTTAATAAAAATATATCATCTTTATACCTTTTATTTTGAAATAACAAAAAAAATCCATTCTAAAATTATTTCAATAATAAATTTACTCTTATATATTTATCTTTATTTCCTCAATTAAACACTAAATATTATCTAAGAATTTAATTCTTATGGTTAAACAGGTTAGCTAAATTTGTATTTATTAATTCTTCAACACCAAAACCCATACATATCAGTAGAGTTTATTAAATTTAGATCAATACATGATATCTAAAAATATTTTTTTAAATCATCTTCGAATAATATAATTTCAATTGTTATGTAAAATTGATCTACAACTATTTTTACCATCAAATAAAACAAATTTAAATAAATTGCTAAATTTAAATTTTATTTTGATTTATAATGCTTATTTTATTAAATTCAAATACAACCCTAAAAAAATTCCATATCTTTTGAATTAATATATATTTAAATCTTCAAATTAAAAACAAACATAATTTTTTTTACATGCATCCATCAAAAGATAATATATACATATATCTACATGATTTGATAATGTCAAGAAAGAAAATAATTTTACAAAATTTCTCAAAAACATCATACATTAAAAATTTCTCAAAAATATCATACATTAAAAAAAATAATATTAAAAAAATAATAAAAGAAATGCACCTAAATTAGGCGCATTAGGTCAGTCGTGTATGAGACTTTCCAAGTCTTTTAATATAACTAGGCTAAGTGTGTAAAATCCAAAAAAAAATTAAAATGTTATTATATACATGATAAATAAAAGTAATAATTAAGAAATTAAATATAAAAATATAAAGATATAAAGAAAATTACTCAAATTGTTATTCAAAAGAGAAGGAAAAACACCAAATCTTTTAGAAATACAAACCTAGAAACTCCAAATAGAGAGGACAACCAAATACAAGGGTTCTAACAAGGATACAATAAATGCAGAGTTAAAGAAAAAGAGGAAAAAGGAGCGACTGCATGCTTGAGAAGAGAGGCCAAAATATTCAATTTATATGAGTTGAAATTTTGAAAATTTTAAATGTATGGCCACAATACTTGATTGTATAAAACAAGTTAACAATTAAGTAGGAATTATGCATAAATTTCAGATTTTATAACTTAGGGTTCTTAAAAGAAAATTTGAGAGAAATGCATAAATTGATATAAATAAGGTTAATTAAGCTAAATAAGATGTTCTAAACTTGAAAGAAACACACAAAATTGTTAAAGAAAGAAATCATTGATTCAAAACTTAAGTGCCGACCATGTTATGGAAAAAGAGAGGAAAGAGATTTTAAAATTTAGGGTTGATGAACACTTATGGCATGTGTAGTATGTGAACAATGAGTGTGTGGGGTATGAAAAATCAGGTAGAAAAAAAGAAAAGAAAGAGGGGGATCCTTAGTTTCCTTAGACTAAGTGATTAGTACTTAAAAATATATTTTTATTAAGGTTTTATATCATCATTTTACATTTGAAGTATCAATAACTCCTTAACTAAAATATGTTTTATAATAGCATATCTAATAATATAAGATACCTTTAATTTATGGTAAATATTCATTTTAAATGCAGG